CGCCCCGTCGCAGAGTTTCTCAACCCCCGTGTCCTCGCGACGCCCTCGGCGGCACGGCTCTCCGGCGATGACCAACCATCCGGAACGGGCCGTGTGCCGTGGCTCCATTTGCATGCGGACAGAGGTTTGGTGGCCGGTGAATGCGGAAAGGCGGAGGAGGACCGTTCGAGGAGGGGGGGTGGTGGTGGAGGCTGACGTTGAGAAGCAGGACTCGACTGAACGCAGCACACCCACAGCCAACACACGTTAGACAGCACACCACCTGACACATCAACACCCCCGTCTACAATGCAGTACACCAAAAAAAAGCAATGCATCACACCCTCAAATTAGACACAGGACAAGCACAAACACCCACATCCCAACACGACTTTGGCTACAAGCAACACACCCACAGGCGTTTAGGGGCAAGTGCTGCACACGGACACACACAGATTCATGGACACATCCGCACACCCTCCACTTGCACAGCTTTCCCCACTCACTCAATCGCGCCCCTCTGTTGCACACAACACAGGCGCACGCGACCCTTTCACAACTGCACGGCACGCTCACCCACGCTGGACGTGCCCTCCGCTGCAAGAAGGTGGTGACCTTTTGTACACGCAGGGGAGTGTGGCCATCTCTTGGGTTATATCGCGTAAATGTGTCGTTAAAACCCGCCACCACCCGACACAGCCAACGAGTAAGGGTTGTCACGTAAACAGAAAGTGGCCAATTCATTACTAGTCTAGCACACTGGTTGTATTGGAGAGCCAAGCCACAACAATTAAAATCCGAGTACGACGTTTCGACAGTAATTACCACAGCCAGATTTTGGTTTTAGCGACACATTTATATATTTACGCGATCTAACCCAAAAAGAAAAACCTCTATCATGGAGGATATTGGTCGCGAAAGCCTGCCACGTGTTAAACTGCCATTTCTGGTGTTGACTCGCGAGGGCTGCGAGGGCTACCGTTCCTCTCGGCTCAAGGAGGACAGGCAACCAAGTCGCCTTCGCGCAAAGCTACGAGCAGCTAGCTGCGGTGCAAAAAAACACGAAAACAAAACGAAAACGCCGGAGCGCGCGTGAACGCACACCGCTCGTGGTGGGCGTGGCTCTCGAGTGCGCAGGCGGTGCAACTGCGCCGGCGACAATACGGGTGCTGGAGTGGCCATGGGTGTCGGGGCTACGGAGAAGGTGGGTCGGGGTCGCAGGGTGGGGAAATCTTTCCACGCACGAGCGAATGAACACAAGTAATAATAGCCAACTGCGCTACGCCAGCGACTGCGACCACTACGAAAGAAACCGATACCACAACACAAAGCGCAACGAGCTCCATCTCACTTCCCCTGCCCGAGCCGATCGCCATAGCCTGGCGCATTGGCGTGTTTGACAAATACAGTGCAAACACACGGGTGACCAACGACCTGGCATACCCCCCCCCCCCCCCCCCAATCTCAACCACCGCGTCAAATCGACTTGGCCGCGGCGCTCCTCCACTCCGCTCGCCAGACCGGTCGGAGAGGTGCCGGCAGTACCAAGCGCGCCGACGGCTCTCGCACGCCGCAGGGAATGAACGCCTCGCCGGCAAAAAGTTGCCGGCTTCAAGCAGGCGAGGGGATTTGATTTAACCTCCCGAGCGTTGTTCGGCACGGCGCCCAACGTTTTGTTCCACGTGCTCCGAAGAAGCTCCCGGCGGCACGTGGAGTGAAACGGACAACGCGTGGAACAACACGCAGCGCAGCCCGCGAAACAACCTGGGCAGCGGGGCCAAATTTATCACCGGATATTTTCCAGGCCTAACCCAGCTTAAATATATGCTGCCAAGCTTGGCGGTGTTCATTCAGACGCCGTCTTTCCGACAGACCTGTTCTTCACCTGAGGACTGCTGCTTGCGTTGTGGCCGAAACGTCGTGAGAATTGTATTATTTTATTATGTTTTATTTTTATTTTTTTATCATCTCCCTTCTACGTGACTTTACCGAAAGAACCGAGAAGAAGATTTTCCAGGCCGTTGGAAGAGACCAGAGTAGATGGCACGTGACCACAAATAGCCACAGCCCGTATCGAGAGGAGGTATATTAGATGTGGTGTGCCGGCTGTGGACATTTTCTCCAGGTCACCGACCAAAGATCGACCCCCCACCGGGTGTCTGGGTCATAACTCAACCACGGTGCCACCAATGCCGGTCGGGAAATAAATCTCCCCGCAAGCACGAATAATACGTCACCTTTATACGTGTGGCCAGGTAAGAAGATCCCGTGAACCATAGGAGGGAAACACGACAGAGATGCCCACCGTGGAAACGGCATTGAGATCTGCCATGTGTGTGAAATTGACCTTCATAGCTCATCAGATTCCTCCAGTCTAAATAAAGATATTTGATTCGGTGCTGGGTGGATGATTGCTGCTACAAGAGACCATGAGATATGGCAATGACTTGATGGCTTTCATCCAGCAGTGGAAAGAACATGACTGACAATGAAGATCCCCATTGAGACCGAGTGTCTCGGTTTAAAAACTATTTTTTTTTACCAATCTTAATTCCAGCTGTGCTTTCAGAGCAGTGCAAACCACAGAAGTACATTTTTATCGGCATACTACAAATGCCAAACTTTCTCACTTGCTCTGCTACAGACAAGAATGTTTGTTGCATGGCAATGAAACATATCCATCTCTCTCGCTTCTAAAAACTGGAATGTAGCCCAATTAAGTAGAAAAAACGTACATTTTTTTATGTTTGTGTGCGAGTGGAGTCACCGGTGACCAGGCTGAGAACACCAACTCGCTACACTTGAGAAACCGGTTTTATTACAGGAGGCTGAAAAGCTGGATTCGAACCCAGGTTCACCTGGGCCAGACTGTTTCTTTCTAAGACAGACCAGGGAGTTGTCCGTGTTCACGATTGGACGTGTATCAATATCATGGCCGATCATGATATCTAACCTATAATAAAACGGGTTCATTTAAACCCTGCAGCCACTAGAGGCACTACACGTATAACAATGGCAACATTATTTAACCATCCTTTAATCTAATCATGAACTTGAACCGTGAAAATGCTTTATAATGAAGACAAACGTTTTCAAAAAGGTACCCTGCAAGTTTCCTGCTCATGCCACGGATGGTGGAAAGGTCTCTACTAGAGGGAGCTTTCGAGTGCCCCCCTGGAGGCTATTTTGGCTTTCTATCCACACTGGCCAGAAGCATCGCAGCAAGGTGGAAGTACCCACACTTTACCGCACCACACGTGACCAGCCTATCGACTTAACCGTGGTGAACTCCATCACACCGCTGGGCGGACAGAGATGGGAGGCGGTGGAGGGGGGAGATTTAAGAAACTAGCACCGTCGTTTCAATCGCTGCGCCAGGAGATGGAATCGAACCGGCGACCTCTGGATTGCGAGCCCAAAGCGCCGACCGTGACGATGAAGTGCGACTGTGAAATCGAGACGGCGAAGGACCACAGAGCGGCGTTCGTGAAAGTCTCGGGGCATCGCTGCTAAGCCCACGGGGCCAGCACTATCCGTGTTTAAAAAATGTTTTCTGCGCCAGAATTTTTTTTTTGTTCCAAGTTAGTGCCAGTCACATGGGCCCCATTCCTGCCTCATAAAAAATTGAAAAAACCCACATCAGTGGGCTCATTAAGGCGTCGCTAATCCCCCACGAGGAACCATTCTCCAAGTCCACGCGCCCAATTAGTGACCCCACTAGTCAGCCCCGGTGGCCACAAATCAGCTGCGAAGATGAACATACAAGGGCACGAGATCTGGTCAAGGGGACCGGACAAATCCACACGAGTCTAGCAGTGGCTAAGTGAGTCCTGCCTCCACAGCCGCACACACACACACACAGTGTAAAGCCAACTATGCCCTGTACAGCCATATAAACTGGTGGGGGCAAGTGCTATTAGCAAGTACCTACCGAGGTCTGCACGGCGCAAGACGGAGTGGTGTGGCCAGAAAACACGCCCCACCGCATTCATCTCTCCAGCGCCGATTTTCCCACACCGTGTCAGTTACTCATTTATGGTCGAGTCGACCTAGAAGAGGCCCAGGGCAGTTTCTGATGCCAACTGCTGCTGATACACTCAGTTGATTGGAAGGAACCAGACAAAGCAGAAGATGTGGGATTGGGCAAATTCTCACCAGGCGAGAACTGGATGTAGCAAGTACTGGAAGGACGGATGTTTGGGTAAGATTTAGAGAAACAGAAAACAAAAGAAAGCTGATTTTTCGATTTAAAGCTTTTGTGACTGCAGGGATTCATCTTCTTGGTTCTTTCGGTAAAGTCACATAAATAATATAATAATAAAAATAAAACATAATAAAATAATTTTCACGACGTTTCGGCCACGACAGACCTGTTCTCCACCTGAGGACGGCTGCTTGCGTTGTGGCCGAAACGTCGTGAGAATTAATTTATTATGTTTTATTTTAATTATGTTATTATTTACATTCTACGTGACTTTACCGAAAGAACTAAGAAGATGAAAAGAAAGCTGCTTGACAATTTGAAGGAAGGAAGGCAGGAGAGAGAGGCCATGCAGTGAAGTAAGAAAGAAGATCAAGATCGCAGGCCACTAAAAAAAGGGAGAGCCACCACCCAACACAAGCCCTGGCCAGGAATCCAACTCAGGCTGCAGAGTTTTCGGTACGGTACTCACTCCGGACCCACAAACTACGACCCGTCAGCTCTCAATCAACACACGCACAACACATCTGTTAGATTAAAACGACCCTAAAACAGTACTGTAAATACTGTTACTTTTTCTAAATCCATAAAAGCGGTGAAGTTGCGTTTTATGGACCAAAATAAAGTTGCGCAATGGGCAGTGTAACACCACGCGGTTGTCTTGTGAAAACATAATCGTCGTCCTTCATCTGCAAACGTTTCAGCAGAGAGCTTTCCACGCACCACAGATGCACAAGGGGGTTTTCTCCATCGCCGATGACGCGAACGACCATGGCTGGCCAGTGACCCACCCGTGACCAGAGCAGACCTGCTGGCTCACCTTTGACCTTGAGAGATGACCTGCTGCTGTTTCTTCTGCCGATGCCTCCCTCAGTGGGCTCAGCCGCACCTGCAGCTGTCTGCGAGTCCGTTCTCTGGCGAGCACAGGGAGGGGGGCACGTGGGGTGAGTGGCGGAGAGGGCCGTCAGAACCTCCAGGGAGAGGTTAGCACTCTTGTCCGAAGGTCGATCACCTATCGACGACGGAGCAATGATACGAGGCGCATACCATCAGCACGCATGCGTATAAAAATGTTGATGAGGGCAGTTATGGGTAGTTTCTGAGTCGAACGGGGATGGAAAAACCAGAGATAGGCGACGTCGCGTGTGATAATCCACGTCGAGTACTGTAGACCCAAAGTGCGGGAGGACACTTTAGTCTAGGCTGCTGTGTTCCTTATCTACGTTGTGTTTATTGCAGTTGGATTCTGAATATACGAACCACGCCTAGTGCCTTCATCGATTTCACAACAGGTGCATCATCATTGTCGTCATCATCATTACATTATCTACACAGCTCCAATCATCAGTGAATCCATCTGTGGTGCATCACGTGGGACTGAAAACCCCCCAGAGAGAATGCCATAGCCTGTTCAATCAACCTGGAGCCTACGGAGTCTGAGTGGGATTTAGATTTCAGTTCTTCTGTCCGGCAGTCTCCCATATTCGTGTTAACCAGGCTCGAATTTGCTCGGCTTGTTTTCTTTTTAACTAAAGCACTCTGCGCCCGCGTGCCCCTGTGGCTCTCAATCTCAAAGTGGATTGTGGTGCTGTTTTGCTGCATAAAGCACGGGCACAATGGGAGACAAGGCATGTCTGTGTGCGTGTGTGTGTATAGATGAGTGGGGAGCGATAGTGTAGCGGTTAGCGCTACGCTGCGCTATGAACCCGGCGACCAGAGTTCGATTCCCGCTCACGGCCAAGACCAGTTACGATTATCTGAACCGGTCCTGGGCCTCTCCTAGGTCGACTCAGCCTCAAATGAGTACCCGGTGCAGTGTGTAAACATCGCCACTAGGGAGACAAAGGCGGTCGGGCGTGGTGCTGGCCACCTACCCCCTCGTGTGCCGTTGCGGCCTTCATAGGTGCTCGCTAACAGCACTTGCCCCAACAGTATTTTAAGGCTATACGGGGGATCTTTGTCTTTGTAGCATAGTGGCGCAACGATCAGCGCAGTGTTACGAATCCAGCGGGCTACCTGGGTTTGATTCCCAGACACAGCGAGCAATCAATGGCGAGTGATATTTGAACCAGTCTTGGGTCTCCCCCCTAGGTCGACGTAGCCCTTAAATTACGAGCCCCTAGTACTTGGGGCAAATATCAACACCGATGGGGGCGAGGTGGCCAAGCGTGGTTCTGTCTACACCCCCGACAACATACAGAGATCATAGCTGGCTAAGGTGTTCGCTAACAGCAGCTGGCCCAATAGCCCGTGTCGACTGCACGGGGTCAATTTGGAAATGAGATTCTATTCCGGCAGTACGTTTCAGGAGCTCGGCATCTCTTGAAAGGAGGGCTTCGAGAGGCACAATTTCGTGTGGTTTTGCGGTTCCCCCTGCGTTGAAGGGGCGCAGATCACACAGTGGGTTTTAATTTGTGCCGTCCGCATAGTTTGCGTGTGCACAGTCACTGTGGCTCGTACTTAGGTCACGCATTTAAGGGTCTCTACGAATCTATCGATCTGTATGTATCTACGCGAGTGTCAATGCGACTTTATGTATCTCTGGGTATACGAATCTCGACGTTTATCGAGGAGTCTGTAGGTCTCTATGCATCTCCGATATGTAACTTCACGCATCTGTCCTGGTCTACGTATCTCTGTGGGTCTCTCTTTATAAAGGGGGGCAGGCTACAGTGGCTTAGCTTACAGTAAGTGGTCCATGGAACTGGCTTGCATGGCTACAATCGCACCGTGGCTTAATTTGGCAATGCCACACGACCACACAAGGTCGCCAAAGTGGCAGAAAAAAAATCAACAATTCGCAAAGTCAACTCGGCTTCAACAAACCGAGGAAATCCTGGCGATCGGCTCTGCCTGATAAGCGCGAGGAATTAAAAACACAATCATCACCCACCCAACCACCACGACAAAGACAGCATTCACACAAAGCACACGCAAAGATCCCCCGTGTAGCCTGGAACAGACTGTTGGGGCAAGTGCTGTTAGCGAGCACCTGTGAAGGCCGGGGGTGGGTGGCCAGCACCACGCCCGGCCGCCTTTGTCTCCCCAGTTTACACACCGCACCAGGTACTCATTTTAGACACACACACCACACAATATATATATACACACACACCACACAGCGTGTGCATCACAACCTACACACAACACAACCTACACACACACCACACCCTACACACACACAACACACATCATAACCTACACACACACACAGCGTGCACATCACAACCTACACACAACACATCGTGCACATCACAACCCACACACATATCACAACCTACACACACACACATTGTGTACATCACAACCCACACACATCACAACCTACACACAACACATCGTGCACATCACAACCCACACACACATCACAACCTACACACACACACACACCGTGTACATCACAGCCCACACCCATCACAACCCACACACAACACACAGCATACAGACATAACTACACACAGTCACACACACACCCCAACCTAAACTAAACGATGTATTTTATGTATCTTACCAGGCAAGGCCCCACTGAGCTACGCTGCTCTATTTCAGAAGCGACTTGGCCACAAATGAGAACTCAACGAAGTGGCTTATCACGTTGTAATGTACAGCAGACAAATACTCTGCGTGATAATTGTTTTTTTTACTCTTCTATCTGGCAACAAAACTGACACCTTTTTACAAGGAGTCATGTTTGCATAGACCGCAATACCTACAGTCATAATGCAAACAAAAGAACACAACTCTGATAATGTGCACTGTCCTTGAAGTTGATTGGTCCACACCCGAGACAGCTTTCCTTAGAGCCTAGTCTCACATGGGTTGGACCAGATGACGCCAAAAGGCTTTTTGGCGTCATCTGGTCCAACCCATGTGAGACTCTGCGTGATGTTGATCATAAAGGTGGAGGGGAAAACCCGGACGAGCCGGAGATAAATCCACGCGACCACGGGGAGAAAGAGACACCGCAAACACCAAATATACAGCAGCAGGCGTCAGGGTCAGGATGGAACCCACGACCTCCTGCATACCAGGCGAGGTAATTAACATCTCATAGCCACCCTGGGCCCCTTACACACACACAGCGTGCAAAATTACAGCCAACACAAAGACAAATATCCCCCGTATAGCCTTAAAATGTTATTGGGGCAAGTGTTGTTAGAGAGCAGCAGCTACGAATGCCGGCACGGCACACGATGGGGGTGGGTGGCCAGCACCACGCATAGCCGCCTTTGTCTCCCTAGTTGCACCAGGCACTCGTTTGAGGCCGAGCCGACCTAGGGGAGGCCCAGGACCGGGACAGTCACGCACACACAAGTGGCTTTCCACGCGAGTCAGTCACTCATGCTAGGAATGACGCCTCTGCTCTGATTCACCAACACCGCTCACCACTCACACCCGAGGATGCTCACTAACGCAGCACACTGCTAGTTCGTCTAACGATGCACACTCGTGGTGCTCACCAATACGCGTAACACTGCTCACCGCCCCATCTAACGCCGATCATGAACACGCATGCAACTTCTCACTAACACACCTAACACTGCTCACTAACACACCTAAGACTACTCACCACCACCACCCAAACAGCGCTCCCACCCAACCCCGGGCGCCTTTTGCACCCCCGCGCGAGACGCCCGAGCCCCACACGACACTCACCGGGCTCACCACGTGACACTCACCAGGCTCACCACGCACGTGACACTCACCGCGCTCACCACGTGACACTCACCAGGCTCACCACGCACGTGACACTCACCACGTGACACTCACCGCGCTCACCACGCACGTGACACTCACCACGTGACACTCACCAGGCTCACCACGTGACACTCACCGCGCTCACCACGTGACACTCACCAGGCTCACCACGCACGTGACACTCACCGGGGCTCACCACGTGACACTCACCGGGGCTCACCACGTGACACTCACCGCGCTCACCACGCACGTGACACTCACCACGTGACACTCACCGGGCTCACCACGCACGTGACACTCACCACGTGACATTCACCGGGCTCACCACGCACGTGACACTCACCACGTGACACTCACCGGGCTCACCACGCTCGTGACACTCACCACGTGACACTCACCGCGCTCACCACGCACGTGACACTCACCACGTGACACTCACCGGGGCTCACGGCACGCGGCGCGGCGCAGCTGTTGCACGGGAGACAATCAATTAGCTCCGGCCCGGTGACGCAACGGTGGCACGGACAGACAACGTGTGTGTGTGAGAGAGAGAGGGAGAGACAAAGGCGGGCCCGGGGGGACAGGCAGAAGGGCAGGAGGAGGAGGGAGGAGGAGGAGAGACGCAAGAGGCGCGGGGTAAGATAGGCGAGAGACGAAGGCGGTGCGAATTCGAGTCTCTGCTATTCGGCGTGTGGAGCGATGCCTCCGCTGCTCCAGATCAGCACCCCCCGCAAAGGCAGCCGGCACCTCGACTCGAGAGAGGGCGGAAGCGAGGCACTCCCTGCCCCTCCCATCTTATCCTCCCCCTGGCTCCTCCCCCCCCCCACCCTCTCTCAGACTCCGCAACCTCCACCTCCTCATCCACCTCTTCATCCATTCTGCCTCTCTCATGCTGATGTCTCCTCCTCCTCCTCCATCATCTCCTCTTTGCCTTCCGATGGCTCCTGCATCACACCGCTCTCTCATCCATCTCCCCACTCCGAGCTCCCCTGGCTCCCTCTGCCATATTTCCCTGGATACCTCCTCCCTGCCATGCTCCCCCCCACCAGCCTTCCCTGCACCCTCCCGTCTCCCACTCCAAGCATTCCCTGGCCGCCCTTTCCTCCCTCCTGGCTCCCATCGGCCTCGTTGTCACCCTCCCTGCCTCTGTCATGCCTCCACCCTTCCCTACACTCCCTCTCCGACCATCCCGTCACCTCAATCTCTCCTCGCACGCTTCTCCTTTCATTCCCTATCCCAATCTCTCTCCTCCTGCCCCCTTTCGATTTCCTCCATCTCCACTGTCTCCCCATCCTCCCCCCCTGATCCCCTACATCCATACTTGTTGTTTCACTCCCTCCACCCCTCTGCTTCCCTCCTCCCTCTCTCTTGTCCGTCACCTACCTACCTGTCCCCCTCCCGGTGTGAAATACCACACGTGAAGCCTTCCCCCCCCCACCCACGCTCTGCAGATGTGGAGGCGACACGCGGTGACTTTATACGAAAAAAGCCATTCACGTCGGGTCCAATTGGCATCTCATTAAACGCCGTCACTCCGCTCATTATATTGGACTCAATAACACAACGGGGGAGGCGGGGGGGGGGAGAGTTTGCCGAGCGGAGGAGCCCCATCCATCCTGGGGAGAGGCGGCCTCTCTCGATTCGTCACCTCCCGTGGAGTTCAGTTGCCATGATGTCTAAATCCAGTCGGCACAGGACTATGGGCTTGCTAATGAGAATCTCTCGCATGACATTTACCAACTCTCGTTCCTGGACGGATAGCATTCGACAACAACAACAAACATCTAAAAATATATATTTTACGATTCAATATTTTATTGGCAGCGGCGCGGAGACTCAACTAAAAAATATATAGGCGTAATTTATTTATCCGGGAAAGCCTCACCGAGTCGCAAGAATATTTCAGCGAGATGTGGGAGGAAAAGTGGCGTGGCCAAGGAAAAGCACAATGCGTGCGAGAGATGAATCAACACGTATTTGCATTTTAGTTGGGGAGTGCTTAATGAATGCCTCAGCATCTCAAAGCCATCCGCGTCACGACATCTCATCTCGATTGCTCCAATGCCCAGCTGCAGTGTTCCCTCATAGCAGCTGTTGGTGTACTGCAGGCGACAAGGCAGCCGTCCTGGCCCGCGAATGAGTACGGGGGTGGGGGCGATATTGTTACGGGGTTATTCTATTTACGTAATTTGCAAATACGTAATTTTTTCAAATTTGGCAAAATTGACTTTTTGGCACGTACTTTTTGGTTTTTGAAATAATAACATCGGAGGAATGTTAATGTACAAATTTGGAAAAATTTAATTTTTGGCACGCTACTTTTTGGTTGTTGAAATAATAACATCGGAGGAACGTTAACGCACGCATGGTTGATACACCCGCAGTATTATCCAGGGCGGCCGGGGGCTTGAACCAGCGCTACCGCTCGGCCACATTACCCCCACCACCCCACTGGGAATCCCATTGAGTCGTCAACGGCTCGTCGCTCCATCTCCTTCGTGGACGCGTTCCATTCCTTGGCTGCGACGGCTTCGTCATTATTCATGAGCACTCCAGTACTCCACAGTTTCATCTGTCGAATGGCTCCTCGAAACATTTAAACTGGTCGGAGGCGGCCTAGGAGGACGCAAATACACACAGATTATCCGTAAGAGATTTTTTTTGGGTGAGATCGCGTAAAAATATAAATGTGTCGTTAAACCCGCCACCACCCGACACAGCCAATTAGTAAGGTTTGTTACGTAAACAGAACGTGACCAGTTCGTTACTAGTACAGCACTAACCGGTGTGTTGCAGAGCAAAGCCAAAACATTTACAATCTGAGTACGACGTTTCACCTATAATTACAACCAGCTTCATCAGGCGACAGCCAGAAGCCATCTACTCTCCCCAGAAGAGTTTATCCTTCCCAGAAGACAGCTACCCTCTCCAGAACACATCTACCCATTCCAGAAGATAACTACACTTGTTAGAAGATGACTACCCTTCCTAGTAGACGTCCACACTACCCAGAAGATATCTACCCTCCGTTCCTAAACGAGTATTGCCGTTCCCACGCGTCACATGACCGCACCGATATCTTGGCGTTCCCAGAAGACCTCTACCCTACTAAGAAGCCATCAATTCCGGTTACTCTTCCGATAAGTTAAAATTATTTTTTATTTTAACCCCATTTGTGGAAGACTTATTCCGTACTCAGAAGACGTCTACCGTTCCCAGAAGACACAAAGAAAAACTTCTCCACTACCTCCATAATAAAAGTTTTTTTGGGTTAGATCGTGTAAATTTATAAATGTGTCGTCAAACTGGCCACCACCCGACAGAACCAACTAGTAAGGGATTTGTCTCGTAGGCAGAACATTTCAATTCGTTACTAGTACAGCACACCGGTGTGTTGGAGAGTAAATCCACAACATTTACAATCTGAGCAGGACTTTTCGCCAGTAATTACAACCGGCATCATCAGGCGGCAGCCTTTGTATTCAGGCGATCTAACACAAAAAACCATGTATTATAGGTGATATTGGTCGTGAAATCCTACGTATTAAACTGTTAAACGTTAAACCCGCTACCACACCGACACAGGCAATTAGTAAGGGAGAGAGAAAATCCACTCCGTGTTTGTTAAAAAACAACAACCCCCCCTCTCTGTTCCATTCACAAGAAGTTATCTACCGTTCACGGAAAATTTTTAAAAAATAACCCCCCCCCCCCTTTTGACTTAAAACTTTCGTGGCTGCAGCAATTCATATTCTTAGTTCTTTCGGTAAAGTCACGTAAATAAAATACCAAAAAAATCTAAAATATAAAAACATAAAATAAAATAACAAATTTAAATAAAATAAAAATAATGAATTGAAAATAATAAAGGAATTTTTTTTAATAAAATAAAACATTTCAATTTAAAATACATTAAAAATAAAAGCAAAAACCCCACGACGTTTCGATCGCAACACAAGCCGTCTTCATCAGGCGGAAAAAAAGAGACTGCTTGTGTTGCGATCGAAACGTCGTGGGTTTTTTGCTTTAATTACTTCCAATTAAATCTTGACTTAAACCTTTCGTGACCTCAGGAATTCATATTCTTTGGGTCTTTCGGTAAAGCCACGTAGAATAATAATAAAATAAAATTTAAATAATAAATTAAAATTATTCATTAACCAGAAGATTGCTACCCTTCCGGGAAGATAAAAAAAACACCCCCCTGTTCCATTCACCGGAAGATCTCTACCGTTTACGGAAGATAAAACAAACCTTGTTCCATTCACCGGAAGATCTCTACCGTTTACGGAAGATCGCTACCGTTTACGGAAGATAAAAAAAAACACTGTTCCATTCACCGGAAGATATCTACCGTTCACGGAAGATCTCTACCGATCACGGAAGATCTCTACCGTTCACGGAAGATATCTACCGTTCACGGAAGACCTCTACCGGTCACGGAAGATCTCTACCGGTCACGGAAGATCTCTACCGTTTACGGAAGATATCTACCGGTCACGGAAGATCTCTACCGGTCACGGAAGACCTCTAACGTTCACGGAAGACCTCTACCGGTCACGGAAGATCTCTACCGGTCACGGAAGATCTCTACCGTTTACGGAAGATCCCTACCGTGTACGGAAGATATCTACCGATCACGGAAGATCTCTACCGGTCACGGAAGATCTCTACCGATCACGGAAGATCTCTACCGTTCACGGAAGATCTCTCTACCGATCACGGAAGATCTCTACCGTTTACGGAAGATAAAAAAAACACTGTTCCATTCACCGGAAGATCTCTATCGTTTACGGAAGATCTCTACCGATCACGGAAGATCTCTACCGTTCACGGAAGACACAAACAAACCACGCCCACTTTCATCTTCCGGAAGAGTCTCCGGCGTGTCGCAGAGCGCTGCAGCGATGGTGTCCGCCGTGCTCGCCAAGTTGCTCGGCCCCAACCTGGCCCAGGGCCTCAAACTGTGGTAAGACGCGGGGCCAGCGGGGCCCTCACGGCCCGGGACCTTCCCTGTGAGGGCCCTGGGAGGGGCGAGGGGAACATGAGGCCCGAGCAGTGAAAGGCGAAGCCGCGAGGCATTGGCGGGCAAGGCCTGTGAGCAGCAGGGTGACCTCTACGAGCCACGGGGTGGTCGTTGTGCTGGGAGGTGGAGGATTGTGCCAGGAGGTGGGCGATTGAGTTCAAGAGGTGGATGATTGAGCCAGGCGGTGGATAAGGAGGTGGATTTTTGAGCCAGCAGGCGGATAAGTCAGCGAGATGGTGGACCGTTGAGTAGGTGGGTCGATGGCTGAGGTGTGGTAAGTCAGCCAGGAGAATGATCATTGATATCGAGAGATGGATCATTGAGTTGCCGGGTGGATTTTGAGTCGGACAGTGGGCAATTAAATTAGACAGTGGACAAGGAGGCGGATGGTTGGACCAGTACGTGGATTATTGAGCGAGAAGGTGGGTCGTTGCGTCGGTGGATCACTGAATAAAGAGATGGACATTGAAGCAAGGAGGTGGAATAATTGAGCCAGGCCGATGGATAACGAGGTCGACCTTTCAACCATTGAATGGATAGTTGAACGAGAGGATGAATCGATCACTGAATAACAATGTGGACTCTTTCTCTTAGTCGGTGGATCAGTAAAGCATGAGCTGCATCATTTAGTCAGGAGTTGGAACACCAATCGAGAGGATGGATCGAGCGAGCCGGAATGTTGATCATTAAAGCCATGAGGTGGATAATTGAGTCGAGAGATGGATCCCCGAGTCTGGAGATATTTCATTAACGGAGGCGTTGGGATCATTGGGGTCGGGATCAGAATCATCCGTGTTTACGCTAAAAAAAACTATACGTTCTTTTCAGCGAGGTTAAAATTGTTTCACATGAGCCAAAGGACATCGGTGAAATTCACAGCTGCCAATGAAATACTGTGACCCGATCGTGTGACTACGGGGGCCTGGGGGAGACAGCCAGACGGGGCGATGCGTGAGAGTGACCACTGGGGGCAGTGCCGGAATGAAGTGAGTGCGGGGCCTGTAGCATTATTATTAAGGGGCCCTAAATAAAAAAAGCACATTTTAAAACACAAATGTTTTACTTGCACAGTAAAGTAATTGTATTTGTTCACGTGCTACACAGTCAGATAAAACGACAAATCGCTCGCCTTAAAACACCCAGTCGTTCATAAAAGTTGAAGGCAGTATAGTACTATAGTAATAGAGCAAGTGCAGAATCACTGAACCGGAATTTATGGCTGGAAAGCATTTAGTGCGGGTCCCGTAGCTACTTTTGCTACGAGAATAATCCGGCACTGACTGGGGGACGTGGGATTGAGCCCCTCTCGTGTGAGACCCTTCTGACCAAAGTCTGAAATCTTATCATCGAGTGAGGGGGAGGGGCATAGATTACGTTTTGTTTACAAGATCGATGAGGGGGAATCGTGGTGTTATTTTAGATACTTCGCCGGTTTTAACCTATGTGAAAAAAATTGTTTAATTGCCACATGCCTGAGATTTGATGGGTAGAGTGGACTTGTTGGTAACAGCGGTGTCCAGATCGGCCTCTGTGGAGGAGGCTCGTGAATAACGCCACTGGACAGTTGGAGGCAGTCGCCCTCTGACAACCGATTAGCACGTTTGGCTACGTACGGTGCGAAAGAAGTTCAACATACAACAGCAGCGGGTGGCTAAAACGCAAGTTGGCACAGTAGAGAGCACAGGTGGGGGGCATCTGACAGTTATCTCAGGCAGTCAACCCACTGCACCTGGGTCTGTCCCGTGACCTGTCAGCGAGCCTTCAACACTACACGTAACCTCGGGGTGCACCTGGCCTGGCACAGGCGCCGTTGTAACATCACCGTGGCTTCGTGGTGAACGGCTGTTGTTGTTGGAGTGTGGTGAATGAAACGTATTAAAATAATATCCGGTTATGTTTTTATTGGACAAATGTTTTTACAGCAGCATTGTCACATTTTTATATTTCTTCCAATCTTCCCGTTTGCGCCATTGGTGTCATGTCATGAGAGGGTGAATCTGGCCTCTCACACAGCAGGGCAATCTGTGTCGGAGAGAACGGCCGGCAGAAATGGATATCCCAGAGCTACTTCTGAGTTCCCTTCAAGTGACCTCTGAGCCACGCAGTAGAGGAAAGCATTTCCCCACCTGCTCTGCACTTGTTTTAAATAAGCACGTATACTGGTAGGATATCACTGGTTCCACCAGCCCACAGGGGATTATTGTGTCCGTCCGTCGTGCAGGGAGGGGCTGGGTGGGGAGGGGCTGGGTGGGGAGGGTGGGGCTGGGTGGAGAGGGGCTGGTCTCCCCGTGGTGCCCTGATAAAACTCAACGTTTAACCTACTCACGCCGGCTTGTGCCTGCCCTCACAGTCGGGCATATTTGCGGAATACACCACGCCGCCGTTGACCCTGGCCATTGACCGAGCAACCCAACGTTCCTACCAGCTCCCTCCGCAGGAATGTGTTTAATCAAAGCACAATCGGAATTTAAAAAGTGGAGAGGATAAGAAGCTTACACGTGTCAATATAGCATTATTCATGCAAATTGCATCTAAAATCCCCAAAAAATTGTAATGCACAGTGTTACAGAAATTTCCAGACAAGCAGGAAGGCAATCAGAAGTTCTATTTTGGGAGGTTTGGCCAACCCCATTCATGAGTGTTCACAAATATTGGAGGAAACCGGAGTACGGTATTTGGAGAAGACCCAAACGTACGAGAGGGGATTAACTAATCAATCGCCCTGTACAGATGGAAATGAATTCACTGAGTGTACTGCCATACCCTGGAAGGCCAGGAGATGGCGACCTGAACACCCACGATTAGAAAAGCAGTTTCATGGGTGTGATCCACCAACGTTGCTGTCTACTCATTGATATGCTATTTTTTTCTCTGTCCCCTCCCTCTCTCCGCCCCCGCCCCCCTCTCTATATTTAAGGGGCCGTCACAGAAACGACCTCTCTCTTTGTGCCGATGTGTTCTCTCTCTGTGTCCTTGTGATGTCTGTCTGCTTGTATGTCTGTCTATAGTTTTCTAGTTAGATTTGTGTTGCTATTTCTTTTATGCCTGATGATGATTGCTTGTGTTGCAATCGAAACGTCGTAATATGCTATTATTTAATCTTTAGACGTGACTTAACCGAAAGAACCAAAGAATAATTCCTGCAGTCACGAAAGCTCCAAAATTAAGATCCACCAACGTGCTGATTTACCGACGTGCAACATAGCCACAAGTGCCGAGAGCAGGTTCCCATTTCGTACCTTGTCTGGTACCGACGGCTCACTCGCGTGCGTGCATGTGCCTGCCCAGGGTCCCTTCAGGGGCGACGTGGGGAGGAGTTTGCGGAGTGACGCTTGTCTACCTCACCGACTGGAGGCTCATCCTCGACTACGTGCCGTATATCAATGGCAAGTTCAGCGAGAAAGACTGAAGGAGCTCCGCAGGTACGTTGGGGCTTGCCACGGCCTCTCAGCGATACCCCCGTGTTCCCACATGGATGTCAGATTATTGTCTTGCCCTCTTGTCAAAACGCAGCGTCCGTGAGCATCGCATTGGCCAGACGCCATTGACAAACGCGGTGTAAATCGGCGTATTGCAACTCCAGTCCTCGTAACACCACCTCATGGGACAGATTTACACGGTCACCTTCAGGTGTGTACAGTGGCTTAATTTGCATGTGAACAAGAAAGATTGATAATTGGGAAAAGGCAGGCTGTGGGGGAAGGGTGATCGGGTCATTGTCGTTGGAATTGAGGAACGACGGTTTAAACTTTAAACAGGGGTTCTGCAGCTGTTTCTGGAAGGTGACGTAATGTGTATGTATAATGATGGCCCACCTATGTTGGAACATCACATGGCATGTCTGTCCATGTGAGCACTAATCCGGTTAACATTGTGGTGTATATCGCGGCCTGAACTGGCTGCAGGAGTAATGTGAACCCATTACATGCCACTTGCATAAATGAAAAACATTAATCTTTAAGACATGCAATTCAATGCATCTATCGTGAGCTCGAAGAATCTGTATTGACAATGCAAGGATAATAGCCCTGTTGAGGGTTGACTGCATAAATGCAACATGTCAGATATACAATAGTTGAGTATTTGCGTGTTTCGGAATGTGGTTTTCTTTGTTGCCCATCACACTTGTGTGCAACATTGCACATCTGTTCGCACACCCTTTGGTGTCTTCCTGCACACATCTAAAAAAAGCCTCAACTCAAAAGTGATTTCCTGCTCAAATGAGCATTGAGGCAGTGCTCCAGTTCACAGGTCTGAGCCAGTAGTGGGAACTCCTATCCTTTGAGTAGATTTAGCCAAAGGATCACCACTGTTTACTTCCCACAAAGTGTTTACCCATTTTACCAATCCTGGAGGACTAATGGATTAAGTCCAAACCAGAATTTTAACTTGCAACCTTCCAGTTGTGAAGCGGCTCGTTTAACACTGAACGACCTCCGTATGGCTCGGAGCATTTGATTGGGATTTGCACAGCATACATGATAGATGACATACCTTTAAAAAAATTACGAGTGGGTTTTCTGCAAGTAAAATATTAACTTTTGTTTTAACCCTACATTAGAGACCGGTCTTTGCAATTTGTGTACGCGCTGTCATATTATTCAGTGGCAAATCTTGATGCGACGTCTTCTTTGCAGGGGATATGAAGCATCGGCCAACGCTTGTACGGGATTTCTCCAGGCTGCCGTCTCCATCCACGGCTCACTATGCTTGGCGTCGCCGGAAATGGGTGCAGCGTTTTCCCCCCTTAACAAATAACATGGCTAATCTGTAACTGGTTTCTCTATTTAAAAGTCCAGATAAATAACATTTACTTTCAACTACTGTGCTGTATTTAGAAACTTGCTTTGAAAATAAAATGTATTTACTGGCCAATTATCATCTGTTGAGCATGTTTTCACGTCGGGCTTTAAAACAAGACTGCACAACGACACATGGTAATTTGAAAGAGGTGGCCTGTGTGGCTGAAAACTCGGTGTCGATCTGCGGTGCTGAAGATTTAGTTTCAATCCAGGCAGTCACCTGTGATTAAAGCGGGCTATTTAATTTGGTGGTTTCAGCCCAGTTACCAATGACGACAAAACACCTTAACATACATCTCAACTTGGCTCCATTCTAGTTCGGAGATTGTTACGTAACAGTAAAACTGATACTCAAACACTACTCTCATGTGACCTCAGCAGCTGGGAGTGAGAAGGTGCTGCCCTGCACTGTGGACCAGGTCAATGGTATCTGCTTCCGTGGATTAATCTCTAACACGAATAAAGGGTTGCACTGCTGTGTGATTGTTACAAATGGATACTTATCATGACATGACACCAATCACGCAATCTAGATAAAATTTGCGTGAACAATTTGTACGAAAATAACTCGTGAATAATAAAAACACGTGCATGCTTTTGATGTATGCATCGTGAGCTCAAGTTCCCATTTTTATTGGACCAATGCATCAATCCATCCTAAGTTGAGCCCAAGTGCTGCCTACTTTAATGTCAATATATTCTACAAAGGGATATCAAGCCCATAATTTCCACAACTATTTTTATTGCAAATAGACTTTAATATTTCCATTCACCAAAGGGGGTTTTAAAGGATGTGCATAGCTTGTAAGAGTAAGTGGTGGTGCATCTTCCAAACAAATAATATCACTCGGCATGTTTGGTGAACCTACATTTTTCAATTGCCACACCTCTGACCAATACTTAACACATTCATCTATTAAAAAAAAGTATTTACCACTTGAGTGCATAACAACAACAAAAAAACCCAACCACCACTATTACAAGGTGCATTTTTCCCTGCAGAAAATAACTTAGAGCCATTCGCCCAGAGATGTGTATGCGAGAAACGGCCTGCGAATATCATCACGTAACACGCAAGGCAGCCACCACATCAGGTGCAAATACAAATTACCTGCGTTAGCGGCGACTTCAACATTGCATGCCACACGCCATGTGCGCAAATTTTAAGGAAATATTAATTTTACCAAAAATTTCATGTCCCCAGTTAAAGTATGTAACATTTTCTATAAGTTATTTTTTTAATTGGCAAAGGTTGAGCCTGCAACCTAACTGGAACCCCTATTTTCAAAAGCTTAAACAATGCATGATTTTGTTTTAAGTGACTTAACTGTGTACAGTACCCCCCCCCCTCGTATTTAATTCTTAAAATGGGGAAAAAAACAGACGATGCTCTATACAACACAGCTATGACAGTGAGAAAACAGTCAAATGTAAAAACATTTAAATCTGCCTAACGTGCCTTTGATCACCAAAACCTTTTCCTTGAGAAAGTGCCACTTCTGCTACAACAAAAAAACCCACGTGCCACTTGTCCACCATGACGTGGCACCGCTAAAATCATGGCCCCAAGAGAGGAGCTTCCACTACTGGCTGGATGCAGCGTGTGGTGGACCCTTGTGACCTATGGGCCCATGCCGCTTAATGTAGTCGCGGAGATTACTCCCAAATGCCCTCATCTTATTTCCATATCCCAGCACTTCCAAGTAGTTCTGCACAGCCTCCACCAGCTCCTCAAAGTTCATCTGGTTCCGGAGTAATTTGCCGTCTCTGTAAAACTGGTTCAAGAAGATCTCCAGGTCGTTCCAGTGGCGGAAGTTCCCGATCTGTTCCAAGTAGTGGCGCAGTATTTGGAGCATCTCGGGGGCACTGACGATGTCCTGCGGCTTTCCTGCTGCGTCTGCTCCTGAGGTTTTTCTGTTGTTGCTCGTCTTCTGGGCCCTCTCGCTCCCGGGACTGCCGTCGTGGCGTACGACCGTTGGTCTTTGGTTTGCGTCGTTTTTAGCATCCCTCTCGTTTTCATGTTTATTTTTGTCACTGTGCTGTTTCACATTAGACGGCTCATTCATTGTGGCGGTGTATTTGTGAGATTTCGCATTTTTTTCCTGGCCTCTTTTTGATTCAAAAAAGTTCTTGCTTTTTTCCTTCCACCTCTTGAAAGTGGACTTGAAAGAGTCACTGATTTTCTGAAATTTGTCACCGATTTCTTGTTTTGCGTGTTTAAAGTTCTCCTTTTGCTTCTGGAAGAAGGCTTTGGCAGATGTCTTCATTTTCTCGAAGGTCCCCCACCTCTGCCCACTTTTATGTTTTGGTTTTTTTGGGATATGTTTTTTCGGACCTTTAGGTCCCACCTCTGGCTCTTGTCGTTTTTCCCGGGGCACTTCTCTGCGCGGGCCTTCCTTGCCAACAGTCTTGTCTTCTTTCACGGAGGGTACCACAATAGTCCAAGAGCCAGTAGATTCAGATGGTAGATTATTTGTACTTTCAGTTTCCAATTCATTACTTTCCTGTTTAAACTCTTTGACGTCGTCAAGATGAGTTACGATTGTGGTTTTGTATTGAGAATCCTTCAACTCGTCCTGAAAACTCTCCTCGGAGTGAAAAAGCTTGGATTGCTGTGCCGTCTCATCTTGCTTGCTTCCTCGCTCTCCAAAGAGGCGACTAAGCCGATTTGCCAGGGCCGCTAGCTCGGCCTGAATGCTCTGCTTCAGTTCCACGTCAGATTCCACAATTCCGCCCTCACCTTCCCCCGTCATTACCGGAGCTTCCACCACTGTCATCTTCAAGTTGTCCACCTTGTTGCTTAGCCGCTGCAGCTCGGTGAGAAGTCCTTTCAGGTCGACTGGTTTCTGCTCTTCCATCCAATCTGATGCAGCCACAGCCACATTGTCCATCTGCCTTGTTTGACCTCTATTCGATAATGTCCCCTCATCACCTTTTTCCTCCGCAAGTGAAGAGATGATGTCTTGAATCTGCACTCCAAACAGTAGATCAGATAAAGACAATGAGCTCATGCAACATCGGAACGTTCTCTCCATTAGAGATTTTATAAATTGTTGCAATTTCCTTCGAGAATCGATTCTCGTTTAACATCTCTAGTGGCTGTAGGGGTTACATGAACTCATTACAAATGATGTATCATCAGCCATGATCTATCCACTGTTGGATCAAGGCTTCCCCAAATTGTTGACATCCCTTGCAGTCCTGCAATGCAACAAATCATCCTGCACACAAGCCCATCTCATTGGACCATCTCTGCGGTAGCTGCTTCCTCTCGGGCGTGCTCCCACCTTTGGCTGCCACTCCATCATTAGCCTCGAACACCAGCGTTTAAGTAACATGTACAGCAAAAGCTCTGTCAACCAGGACTTTACCACCTGGAACGCTCTTAACCGGCATCTGTGGCAGAAAGAAATACAAATCTTCCTTCACGTATCCAGAAAAAAATCTGACAGCCATCGGGCGTCTTACCTTGAGCTTATCATAGATCTGTTGCTTACGGAAGCTTCAAAATGCTGCCAAGTGGTGGCGCTAACAGCAGTCTGTACATATGGTACTGTACTCCTCTATACTATACTCCAAACGGCCCCACTGCTTCTCTACAATAAACTTAGAATGCTCTCGAACCGACTATAAAATATTTATTTCTTACTAGCGGGAAGTACCCGGCGTTGCCCGGGGGAAAAATGATTTCAAAACTTTTCTTAAAAACATAACATACACATAGACAAATACTAAGCTATTGTGAAAGCCCGGCGTGCCGTTTGTCCATTTGCCTGTCAACAAAATTATAAGAGGCTTGCAGAAGTCCAAAAAGTAATTGAAAGTGGGGGGTAAATGGTTGATCTAAAAGATTTACAAAAATTGTCGACCCCCCCCCCCCTCAAAAAAAATGTTTACCCCCGCGTAGGCATATATACCTAAACACCCTACATACGAGAGTCGTATCTAGTGACTCTATAGTAGTATCTGGCTCGACAGTATTATCTACTGACTATAGTAGTATATACTGAATCTATAATAGTACTAACTTCAGTGTCGCGATGAGGCCTGGTCCCGTGCAGAGCCCCCGGCCTTGCCTAGATTTCCCAGCCGGCCGAGGTGGCACCTTTGCAGGCCGTGGCTGGGCTGCTACCCCCCCTACCACCCCCTCGCCCACTCTACAGTCATAGTATCTAAGGGCTATAATAGTAGTATCTACTGACCCTATAGTAGTAAGTGCACACATTGGGGTGGGGGAGGGGAGAAGAGGACATCACACTTTTAATAATTTACCTCTGTTGTGTATATTTTTTGTGCATTTTTAACGCGAATGATAATTCCCCCCTCCCCCCCACCGATTGTGTGTGCGCGTTGCTAGGGCAACCACCGGTCAGAATTTCGCGCATGCGCTTTGGCGCGCGCTCAGCGTAGTAATATAATAATAGTACTAAATTGTTAATTTAATTACTTTTAAGTTTACGGATGTGAAATACGAATAGCGCTGGCTCACTACGGGGCTTATCGCGTGGTATCTGCGTACTTTTTTGAAACCTAAACCCCACAGTTTGTGAGTTAAATCCGTCGCAAGTTGCGTACACAGACGGGCACAGACAGGCTGACAAAAAATTACTTGTATAGGTAAGATACTATAGTTAAAATGTACGCTCATGTTTCTTTGCTGAAAAGTTTTATGTACTTGGAAATTTGGTGAACCATAAGTATACTTGATTTATTTTCATTTATTATTATTTTATTTCTATTATTATTTTTTACCTACGTGACTTTACCGAAAACACCTAAGAGTATGAATCCTTGCAGTCACGAAAGCTTCAAATCTAGAAGTAATTATACTTCTCAAATAACCAGCATATCTGATTAACGAGCACCCTTCATTTCTCCATGGATGCCGGACAACAGAGCTTTTGCTATACGAACCGAAAATTGTCACGCGCACAATAAAGGTATCATGTCAGAATCCATTTGAATCCATGGATGATTGTGTCTCCATCATTACGTGCCAAATTTATGTATCTAGAACTCCTTTCGGACCTAAATAAAACGTGGTAGTGTTTAAAATGTTCCATTAAACAGCATACTTAGGCCAGCATTTCATCACAAGTATTAATAATTTGAGGCACACATGTTCCATTTTAAATTAGTTTAAACAGCTACTCGACTTGCTTGTATTACGAAGGGTGTCGTTTTCTGTTAGGAAATTTGATATCTCGAAAACTACCTTGCCAACAGACTAACCCACCATTGTGCTCTCATTAGCATTCACGACGCATCCTGAATTCTGTAATCGGATACAAACCATAGAATCTGGCAGAGCAGGTGCTGCCACGTCCAGAGGGTTGAGGTCACCTGCAGCCTCTTTCAGGTCTGGCGTTGTAATTCCCCCTTGAGGGTCTCCTGGAAGTACACATTCCACTTTTTAAAAACACTTCCCAGTCAGTAGTTATTTTAAGTTACGTTAAATACATTGCACTGAATTTCGATTTAAAGCTTTCGTGACTGCAGGGATTCTTCTTCTTGGTTCTTTCGGTAAAGTCAAGTAGAAGGGAAATAATAAAAATTAAACATAAAATAATTCTCACGACGTTTCGGCCACAACGCAAGCAGCCGTCCTCAGGTGAAGAACAGGTATGTCGGGAAGAAAGCGTCTGAATGACAGACCTGTTCTTCACCTGAGGACAGCTGCTTGCGTTGTGGCCGAAACGTCGTGAGAATTATTAAATGTTTTATTTTTATTATTTTATTATTTCCCTTCTACATTGCACTGGCCTTGGCATTTCTCATTTGTCTCTAGATGTTATTTATAATTTTAATTAATGAATTTTTAAAATTATCTTGATGCCTATGACCCCCCCCCCCTCCCATTTGCACATCCAGTCACGTTGAATAATTCATAATAATTATTAACAGCCCTTTTCACATCCAGTGGTTGAGGAGGGCCTCTCTATGCCATGTTGGTCATGGGGGATATTTGACCATGTCACACTGGTAAGTGCATTGTTTAAGGCCCAGATCAGATATCACTTACCACTGATATTAGCCGTGGCCTGGAATAAAAATCAGCTCCTCGGGTTCGTAGCACAGCGCACTAAACCATTGCACGAGTGCTCCTGCCAGCAACATTTAGATGCTTTATCAATCTAAATTGTATCACGAAGCACTTGCACTATGCAGCGCACTTGTGAGGCTGCGAGAGCTAGCTACTGCATACATACACTGCTAATTTCAGAAATTAATGTTTGGAAATGTGACACCCTCACAAATACAAATCCCTCGTTTTGTGGTTGGCTGCAAGAAATAAAGTGGGACACTCCACAACCAAAATGTCCAAACTTGCTCAGCAGCATGTTTGGAGCATGAGTGGATGCCCATTATAACACAAATAAACCAGTGTGACTGCATAGCTGAACTGGCAACAGATTCCACCAATACTTGAATCATGCATTTGGAATTCGCCAACAGCAGTGGGGGAAGAAGGGGGGGCAGGTAGTTACCTGCTGGTCTTGGGGCGTACCCATGAAGACAGGGATGGGACAGAAATCAACAATTGTGAGTGAAGGCACCCACCCAATGGATGAGCCCAGGATCACCTATCCTGCCTTTGCTAGTCAGGGAGACAGTGCACCCTAAACCCTGAAGCCCAGCGGGCGAATAGGAGATTGACTATGCACAGATTTATCGACGAAAATTGAGCACACTATCAATGAGGCATGCAGAAAATTGAAACCATACAAATGAGATGGTTTGAATTAAACCAGACATATACGAATTGCAGTGACCCCGAATTCTACAAATCTTGTGGTGTGGGGGATAAATCATTATGTACCTACAAAGGGCTGTGTTGGCACTCAGGGTTAGGGTTCAGGTGGTAATATGCATGCTAAAGGACACGTCATGACCATGTAGGAGAAAAAGGCGGTGGATAGAATTGAGGTTATTGATCCGCGTCTGGGCTATCATTTTTGCCACAGCGCTGTTTTCCCAGGGCAGTGCTATGCCTCATCCCAACTGACCTGCCATGAACTTCTTTAAGGCGGCCAAGGCTATAACGATGCATGCGACGCAGATGATGCAGCCGTGCAGCGAGATGGACGTCTGTGCCGCGGGGTGAGCAGACACGCGGCGCTCTCCCCTGGGGCTCTTCCTCTTGGAGGGCCGGCGATGACGCAGCGCGGCGGGAGCCTCGGGTGAATTGCTCTCGTCACTGCTCGATTGTTGACACAGATTCGCGGCATCTGTAAAAGGTCGTCAAACAGAGAGCGGCGGTCACACGGGAAACATTAAGAAACGTACGAGTAGTCGTTTCTCATGAAGCCCCGTCGAATGATTCAGACAAGTCATCATTCATTAGGTGTTTAGTGATTCACCCTCCTCCATGTGACTCAATGCATTACCATGATTTGGGGTCATAATACAGTATGATTAAATAATCAATTCCTTTGTGTTTAATTTGTCCTGCCTCTGCCTTGTTTGTAACATCAGCCTTGTTTCATTAGCCGAATTAAAAATGAACATAACCCCATAATGTGCATCAATCAAAAGTAACCGATTATTACAAGCACTATCATACTATCCTCATCTTCGGAGGTCCAAGGAGATCGGTACAGGGTGATTTGGTCATCGGCACAATCGACGTGTAATACATGGACCAATTACGGTTTCATATGAATCACCTGGCTTTAGGTCGCTATAATATGGATTAAAATCGTTATATTCTTTGGGTCTTTCGGTAAAGTCACGAAGATAGGTTCAAAGAAATAACAAAAAACTACGACGTTTCGATCGCAACACAGGTGGTCGTCATAAGGAAAAGGGGGATGACGACCACCTGTGTTGCGATCGAAACTTCGTAGTTTTTTGTTCTTTCTTTGAACCTATCTACGCAACTTTACCGAAAGACCCAAAGAATATGATTCCTGCAGTCACGAAAGCTTTAAGTCAAGATTTAAAGTCGTTATGTTGTTCACGTTGTGCGCCCACACAAATCTATTCAATGCAATGACTACACATCATCTAAATTCACACCAATGCCACCCCAGAAATTATATTAATTCTCACAAATCTATCTGTAATGAGCTTTGATTGTTACACCTTGTACGCCAAGCTTTCTCCTGCTACTCCCAGTGGTCTCCCACCACACGCCACTGAGAAAAATATGTTTTACGCCCGTCCCGCTACAGAGAGTATTTGTCAAACCAATACATTTTAATTCTCAGAGCTGGAATTCAGCCACATTAAATCCAGAACCAAGTGTTGTGAAATGTCATGGAATTTTTGTATGCAGTCATTGCTGCAGAACATTGAGCATTATCTCCTCGTATGAGTGGGTTGTAGACACATCTATGCAGACCATCAGGTATTATCTACTTATATAAGTGGGGGCTTTTTTCAAGGACTCAGCTTTTCTCCCACAGGACAAAACAAATTAAAAATGCTCATTGAAAATAGTTGGCCAAACATTTCAATAAACCCTCCTGAAAAAAGTATTTAGACTCAGTGAGGCTTTCCTTTGTCAACAGCATTATTACCATTATTCTCAGTGCTATTGTTAATGCTGCCTGAGCACAATACACACACACATTCACTTTTTTTTTTACTATTCATTGTAAGGACTACACTACTTCCCATTGCTGAAAACTAACACGGGCATGCTGAGACTTGCCTGGCAAGGGAGTAATGCGCATAAACTCGTGGCTGGGGGCAGCCTCCGCACTCCTCGAGTGGACGAGCAACTCGGGCCCAATTTCCTCGACGACATCTGGGTCCAGCGTCACGATATCCGAGTCCTCATCTCCGCTGTTGCCACCAACGCCACTGCCGCCGCCACCACCGCCACCACTACCCCTCTCCTGGTCAAGCTCTCCCTCCTGAGTCTGCTCCTTCTCGTTTTCCAAAGAACCATGTGTTGGTGTCTCCTGCACAAAACAAACCATCACCAAAAGAACTCAGAATTTAGACCAGGTGTGGGCAACTTATGGATCATGGGCTACATTCGGCCCGCGACTTCATCTCCGATACAACCCGTGGCCACGTGAGGCCTACCACTTTACCACGGTCCACAAACTATGTGTATCCATCACTGCAAGAATCTTAGGAACACTAATCGGGTACTAAAGGGTAATTTATTCAACCTTGTAACACTGTGCATTTAATTATATATGTCACTTTGTCACTGCAAGGAGCCTCTGGGAGTGACAGAAGTGATTTAAGTGTTATCGTGTGGCTAACTGCTAAAGATATTTGACTTATTCAGCCCTCAATAATAAGGAAATGGTTCCTCACCCCTGATTTAGAGATGGTCATTCTTACCTAAGCTAAACAAGGGATTTTCTAGGGCATTTTTTTTCGTGAAATTAGGTGTTGTTGGCACAGTGATGCCTGTGCTATGGACCCACAAACCTGAGTTTGATTTCCTGCCATTGTCAACATAAGTGGTGGATATCTGAATCTGTTCTGGGCTCCTACCTCACCAACCCACACTGACCTGTGTGGTGAAGTATGACCGACATGCTGTGGGGAGGAGGCTTTCATCATTGTTTTTCTAACACAATGTTATTTATTTAGCATGAACATTGACAAATGCATTTACCATGATAGGCTCGATTGACTCAGTTTAAACAAAACCTAACATTTTGTTACCAATGTCAACAGCACTCCACCAAATGCCACGAGCCATTTCAGCTGAATAAACATGCTTACTTTGGCGTATGATGGTGTTAGCTGTTCGTGTTCCTCTGTGACAAAAGACTCCGCCTGGCTCAGTGTTGCGAGCAGAATCCCTGTTAACAAGACGTTTAAAAAACACACGGCGAACTGTAACTCCGTCAAAAACAAGTTTCTAAAAATCATGCATATGCATGGATGATGTAATGCTCTCCAACATGCTCTTGTTTTTGGAAGAATTTCACTTGCAGTATGGAAGACAATGGTTAACTGGGCAAAAGCGCATTTTCATATGGCAAACCGTAACTGTTGCTCTTGTTTGTCTCCAAGTTTTGGGCAACCCCATTGGCCAAATGCTCTGGTTTTCAATACAGAAAATCCCTACTAGCAAGACAACTTTACACTACAGATTCGTTCATATTGGATCATCGTTACAAGAGCTATCATGCCCCCACCATTATGAATTGATAGACAGAGGAAAGGCATACTTTTAGCCTTAGTTGGAAATAATTACAAAACAAGTTAAAACACTGCACACACGAAGCGTGCTATGTCAGTCTTCTTTAACAAAGTAGCCCGAAGACTGGCCTTGCAGTTTTGTTTACAATGTATCCGCTTATAGCTCTCCGATGTGTTTTGCATGTTGCAACAGGTGTTCGCAGGTGGAGCTGCGTGTCCAGACATCATGCCGTACAACACGCGGGACAACCCATAAGCACATCCATCCAAGAGCCATACAGCAGAGACACGAAAGCTTACGTAGTTGTACGTCACCTTCATTCTCTTTTGGCCTTTCAAATTCTTGCATGGGTGGTGTCGTAGCAGCGTGCAGATGCTCTGTCACTGCCACGGGCTGGCTTTCATTGGTAACAACATCGTCATCTTGTGGAGTCTGAACGGCAGCAGCCTCCTACCAGCAAAAACCAAGTCAGGCACTGATGGCAACACCAAGCATGACGTGTCACTTGGCCAGTGACATGGGGGGGAAAGGCGAGAATGCAAATCATAGGCGGTGTTCACAGTCTGGAGGTTTTACCTCTAGTCCAAGCGGGTTTCAATTGAGCATGAAGTGATTACGAGTGATTTAGATATAATAGGTTCACACAGGTTTGTTTTTAAAAGAAACGAGTTATTTGTCTTGGAAAGATTTTTTCCTGCCATGTTGGAATGCTTGTGATGGTTTATTGGGCTCATTATTGGATGTTGTTGGACTGGTTGAATTCTTGACTGCCTGATAACAGATTGTGTCTTGCGACACTGTCTTGCTGAAATAGTCGATTCTGGCAATCATTTCATCGGTGTGTTTTTGAACACTTATCCGATGGCAGGCCACATCTCACATGTACACACGGTATGAATTCACGTGGCACAGATGTGGCCCTCGGGCTGCCATTTAAGTCATCCCCCGCTCTCGGAACACTATTTTTAAATAAACGTCTGGATACTTTTGTCCACTGCGCCGAATGCCTTTTGCCTCTCGGTCGCAGCTACACTAGCGCTGCAGTGCCCATCGCGATGAACCCAGGTTAAAGCGATGGTAGTCAGTGGGGGTAAGGTTGAGTCAGGAGTGAGGCACTGACTTACTTTGGGGTCGATGACAGTCCAGCTGGCCAGCCCCTCCGGGTCGCCACTCACAACACCTGACATCTCTGCATGGCCAGACACAGACACGCCGTACACACTGGAATAGCCACCACCACCACCACTACCATTCATCATCAGCAGCAATCATTATAAAGCCACTGCTGGATGAAGGCTTCCTCCTCAAGTCATCACCATCTCCCAAGGTCCTGCACATGGGCTGATCTCATCGAAACCCGTACAGAGTACAGTGCATTCATTTAAATTCCTTCACGCCTATTTAAACTCTTATACATCTGATTAAAACTTTTTAACCTAATCTAAACTCCCTTAAACACGTAAAGCTCCACTAAACACCATTTAACGCATTTAAACCCATGTAACATTTTTGTAAGCTGCCGTGGTCTAATAGTGTAATAGTGTAATATAGTTAACAACCTGGACCTGCAAGCCAGAGCAGTGGAAATAAGTAATATTTAAAAATACTTTTTTTAAAACACGCTTTAATGAAATGTACCGTACGAGTAATGGCAGAAATCCACGACTCCAGGAAGTGGCCGCAAAGCTTGCCATAACGTAAGGGACCGTGGTTATTTACAGCCAACGTCAGTTGAGCGTGGACAATTAGACCCAAATCGAAACGTAAATATGAAAAATGTTTAAAAAATGTTTTTTATAGAATATAGTATTGTCATCAGTATGACATAAGTATACCAAGTTTACAGTCGATATCACATTGGGAAGTGGGTTAAAATTGAGTTACAAGATTTGAGGATACGACAACAACAGAGTGAGTTAAATAAAAAGCGTGTAATAAAAATATACACGTTTCCTCAATCTTCTCACACCCTCACCACAGCAAACAAGTATAACCCGTAAAAACAAAGTTTTTCACTATAAATCCTTTATATGCGTGGCGGCTAGAGTCCTCTCGTCCTCTGGCTTGAGATGGCTGCCACCTATGGGTCAGATGATTGCATTGCACCATTAAGCAATTGGTAATTAAATATAATATTTTTGTCCTAAAAAGTGTAAAATTTTGGAAATAAATTTTTACGAACATTAATTGTCACGCACAACGAGTCTGTGTGGAAAATGTCAGCTCGATTGGATCACGGGAAATGGATAAAAAAAAACGACTGAAAGATTTGCACGGTCGTAAGCAAGCAAGCGAATTTAATATAAATGATTTTAAAAGACCGCCGATCTTCTGGTGGGGTGAAGCGTGGGTACCACTTCCACTTCTGCGGACACGTCTGGCCACCGTGAAAGAAAAGGGGACATGCCCTCTAGATCTCCATGTGGTTGAAAGGCCCCTTCCGCCAACAGCAGCGCGTGCAAAGACGTTGCAGTTACTGTCTTGCACCTTTCTACCGTTTACCAAGAATACTTTAAACTTAATCAAAGCTCGCCTAAGCCAGAGGATTATTTGTTCGAGATCACCGCCAATGACTGCAGTGATGCTCCGGAGTACAGTAACACTATCTTGGTGTAATGCCTCTTATCATAATTATGTGATTATTACTCTGTGGTTCTTTCGGTAAAGTCACGTAGGTATAAAAGAAATTAAATCACGACGTTTCGGGCGCAACGCAAGCGTCCGTCATCAGGTGGGACAACCACAGCAAGAAACAATTGCTGAAGTGATTATTATTTTTATGCCACGTTAAGTATTGTTACGAGTGAATCTCCGAGGCCACTACTTTTTAATGATTCAGGGTTAAAAAATAGGCCTTTTATAGAGGAAAAAAAAGACTAGAATTCACAGCCATTCTCGATGCACTGCTGGATGAAGCCCCCTCCCCCCACCCACGTCATGTCGATCATGGGGCTTGGTTGTCCATACTTCACCACGCTGGTCAGTGCGGGCTGACGAAGCGATGTTAGCCGTGATCGGGAATAATACTTAGATAATGATAGTAAACCCACAGCTCCAGTCTTAATTTTAGAACTTTCGTGACTGCAGTAAATGATTATTTGGTTCTTTCGGTTAAGTCACGTCTAAAGATAAAATAATAACATAAATTAAATAATAGCATACGACGTTTCGATTGCAACACAAGCAATCATCATCAGGTATAATGAAATAGCGACATAAAATCTAACCAGATTTTATGTCGCTATATGTCTGTCTATAGTTTTCTGGTTAGATTGTATGTCGCTATTTCATTATACCTGATGATGATTGCTTGTGTTGCAATCGAAACGTCGTATGCTATTATTTAATTTAATTTATTATTTTATCTTTAGACGTGACTTAACCGAAAGAACCAAATAATCAGCTCCATTCTTGTTCACTCAGCTCCTGAAGGCACCCCCCCCCCCCATGTTGGTGAAGTCACAAGTGGGAGTTTCCCTGACCATACTTCACCACGCTGGTCATTTTAATGTGTGGACACCCAATGACGCCACGCGGCATAATAAAGGGGATATAAACACCCGTTCGTCTACGCTGTATAATTCTTTAAACACACTTAGGTCATATTCTTGGTTCTTTCGGTAAAGTCGCGTAGAAGGGAAATTAAAAAAAAGCGTAGAAGGGAAATCAAAAAAGCAATAAATTATTATTTAATTATTTCCCTTCTACGTGACTTTACCGAAAAAAACAAGAACATGAATCCCTGCAGTAACGAAAGCTTTAAATCGAAATTTACACTCAGGCCACTTAACAAGGAGATGTAAACACTCGGTGACGTCACGCGGCCTACCTCTGCCCCGCGACGCCTTGACCGGGTTTCCCGCAAACACTCCGCGAGCCTGGCGCTTTTAGTACCTCAGAGTGAGGAGGAGGCCGGTGGGGAAGGATGGGGGGGGGAAGTTCGAGTGAGTGAGTCCCCAGGTGAACCGGGGGGATGGAGGACGCGAGGGGTCCCTTACCTGGACCGCGGGAGCCAAACGTCGCCTCCGCCTCGCGGCGCGAAACCCAAGAATTTTATTTCGTTGCTCGTCTCACGCCCACTGCGTGACGTCACGAAGAGGGCGTGGCCACGTTTTCTTATTGGCGGGGGGGGGGGCTCTGAGTTTAGTGGGCGTGGTGACGCCGGTTTATGGGCGTGGCCGCGGCTATTAACCAATAAGCGTTGGTTGTGTACTCAGTGGGCGTGGTCACACGGCAAGATGGGCGTGGCTATGAGCAAGGCCCGCCCCCCCCCTCTCGCTTGGATAGGGGCTTCACCTCGGGGTCTAATTTGCATGGAGCCAGCACCAATGACCCTTGCAAGTTAAATTTCGATTTAAAGCTTTCGTGAGTGCAGGGATTCATCTTCGTGGTTCTTTCGGTGAAGTCACGTAGAATGGAAATAATAAAATAATAAAAATAAAACATAAAGTAATTCTCACGACGTTTCGGCCACAACGCAAGCAGCCGTCCTCAGGTGGAGAACAGGTCTGTCGAGAAGACAGAGTCTGAAGGAAACCCTTGCAAGCTCAACGTGTTCGTTCATAAACACTGGGGCCTTGAAAAGACAACAATATAACAGGCGACGTTTTAGGAAATGAGCCTTCTGCAAATAGAAAGGCCAGAGAGACAAAGTGCGTGATAAAAATTATACTTTACAAATTTTACAAATGTTTCCGAATGAATAGTTATAATTTTAATTGGCGTATTAATAGGAAATATATTAAGTCAACGTATTTGCATTAAAAGTAAAAAAAATCCTGCTGGCACGTGGCATTTTTGGAAGTAATGTTGCAGTGAGGTCAACGTAATACTTATTCACATAATGGACTGAGTGATATATCCTGGGCCTAATTAGCAATTCAAGAGGATTAAAAAGCGCTGGCAAGAAACGTTGGCACCACATATACCTCCACGTTTTAACTTTTAAATTCCTTAAACCCTTAAAATTAGGGTACGGGAATTTATGGCAGATAATGTTTCGTTTCTTTGCATGTTCACCACAAGTATTGTGGTTAATACAGACATGATTCCTTGCAAAGGTTTCAGTTTGGTGTTTTAACATCTTACCACACCTGTTTTATTGCTAGAAAGGGGAAAATCATTATCATTATGGCAGATAACTTAAAACTAGTTTTATTTTATCTTCTTATACAGCACTTGCTAACAAAAAAAATACATTAATTAAAGGAACATTGCCCGAAAGTCTTCTTATATTTTGTTTGTGCACCACTGCCAACGCAGTACCACCAAAATAATTGGGTCCTAGATTTGAAGCTTTCATGACTGCAATGATTCATACTCTTAGGTTTTTTCGGTAAAGTCACGTAGGTAAAAATAAATAAAAATAATAATAGAAATGATAATAGAAATAAAATAATAAATCACGACGTTTCGGAGGCAACACAAGTCTCCGTCATCAGGTGGGACCGTCACAGCTAAATTTACTGCATCAAGTGCAGTAATGATGCAGTAAATTTATCTGTGACGGTCCCACCTGATGACGGAGACTTGTGTTGCCTCCGAAACGTCGTGATTTATTATTTTATTTCTATTATTACTTCTATTAATTTCAATTTTACTTGTTACCTACGTGACTTTACCGAAAAAACCTAAGAGTATAAAAATATTGATTTAAAGCTTTCGTGACTGCAGGGATTCATCTTCTTGGTTCTTTCGGTAAAGTGACGTAGAAGGGAAATAATAAAATAATAAAAATAAAACATAATAAAATTCTCACGACGTTTCGGCCACAACGCAAGCAGCCGTCCTCAGGTGAAGACAGACCTGTTCTTCAGACCTGTTCTTCACCTGAGGACGGCTGCTTGCGTTGTGGCCGAAACGTCGTGAGAAGAAATTTTAATTTTTATTATTTTATTATTTCCCTTTATTATGTTTTATTTTTATTATTTTATAATTTCCCTTCTACGTGACTTTACCGAAAAAACCCAAGAGTATACAAATAATTGGGGTTGCATTTCGTGGGTGCGGTGTGGGAGTGCATGCTTCACGGCTCTTGATGGGCGGAGCTCTCCTCCTCGGTGGGCGTCACCGTGAGCCCACAGTGGGCGTGGCAAGAGGCATGGGCTCCATCTGCACGCTTGGGAATCCTCGTGATTGCGCTCGCATCTGCTCCGTGTCATCTCGCGTGCCCCTCCTGCCCTCTTTTCTCAATCCACGCCGGGCAGGGCCGGGCCGGGCAGGCAGGGCAGGCGGGCGGCATGGCAGCCCTGCCCGATGTGGTGTACGGCCCGCAGGAGTTCGAGGTGCGTGCTACGGAACGTTGCTTGCTGGGGTTAGAGGTAGGGGTTTAGAGGCTGGTGGTGGTCGCGATGCACCTGTGCAGGTGAGAATCCGTCACCTCCCCTGTCTATATTGGTGGCGGCAATTGCTGTATAATTGGTACGGCAAGGAATACACGTGGGTGAGTAATGCTGGCATTTGGAATGGGCGCTCCGTGGATCCATGGATGGTCGGTGGATGCAACAATTTTATCCACGTAACAGTACACTGCATCTGTGTGTGTGTGTGTCTGTGCGAGTGCGTCCATGTGCGTGCGTGCGTGAATGGATGTGGCATGTCCGTGTGTGTGTGTGCATCTTTGCGGGTGTGCATCTCGCATCTGCCTGTCTTTGTATGTGGCGGGGAGCGGTGGTGCAGCGGTTAGCGCACTGCGCTACGTGTACACGGTGGACCCGTGTTCGATTTCCCCGCACGATCAACAACAGTCACGATTATCTGAACCGGTTCTGGGCCTCCCCTAGGTCCACTCAGCCTAAAATTGAGTATTCGGTGCAGTGTCAACGTCAACACTGGGGAGACAAAGGCGGCCGGGCGTGGTGCTGGCCACCCACCTCCTCGTGTGTCGTGCCGGACTTCATAGGTGCTCGCCAACAGCACCTGCCACAACCGTCTGGCTATACGGGGGATGTTTGTCGTTGTCTTTGTGTGTGTGTGTGCATCTGTGCGCATCTGTGCGGATGTGTGCATCTGTGTCTGTGGGTATGTGTGCATCTGTGTTTGTGCATTTGTGTCTGTGTGTGTGCATCTGCATTTGTTTGAATGGTATACGTGTGTGTCTGTGCGGATGTCTGGGCAGTTATTGTCTGTGTGCTTCTAGATGCTTGTGCGTGCATCTTGAACCTGTCTATGTGTGTATATTGTGTAGGTGTGCGTCTGTTTATGCCTGTATTTGTGTACGGTATATGCCTGTGTTTTGGCATGTATGCGTGTCTATGTTCACATGTAGTACATCTGTACATCTGTGTGTCTTTGGCGACATCGTATATCTCTGTGTCTGCGTGGTTGGGGAGCGGTGGTGTAGCAGTTAGGGCGCTGCGCTGTGTGCCGTGTTCGCTAACAGCACTTACCTTAAGGCTATACGGGGGATCTTTGTCTTTGTTGTATGTGCATCTGGGCATCTAATTGTATTTGCGCATATATATGTGAATGTTCTTGCACAACAGTCTGTTCTGGTTTTTCGGGGGATCTTTGTATACCCGTGCGTGTACGTCTGTGTGCGCATGTCTTTGTGTGTATCTATTTACACGTCTCTTATCTCTTAGTGTCTCTGTATATCTGTATGTATGTCTCAGTGTGTGTGTATATATATGCGTGTGGGGAGCGGTGGTGTAGCGGTTAGCGCGCTGCGCTATTAACCTGGCGACCCAGGTTCGATTCCCGTTCACGGCCAACACCCAGTGGCGATTATCTGAACCGGTCCTGGGCCTCCTCTAGATCGACTCAGCCTCAAATGAGTACCTTGTAGCGGTGTGTAAACATCGCCACTGGGGAGACAAAGGCGGTCGGGCGTGGTGCTGGCCACCCACCGGCCTTCATAGGTGCTCGCTAACAGCACTTGCCCCTACAGTCTGTTAAGGCTACACGGGGGATCTTTGTCTCTGTATATATGCGTGTGCTCGCTAACAGCAATTGTCCCAACGGGCTTTTAAAAGGATATAGTGCTCAGCTCTCTGCGCTCTGAACTCGACAATCCGGGTTAGAATCCCGCTCACGGCTAACATCAGGGATTAATATCTGAACTGACGCGTCCTTGTACGAGCACCTGGTGTGGTGTGTAAACATCACCACTCGGGAAACAATGGGGGGGGGCGAGCGTGGTGCTCACCCACAGCACCACCCTCCCCCTCGTGTGCCGTGCCGACCGTAATAGGTGCTCGCTAACAACACTTGCCCCAACATTCTATGTCAAGCTATGCGGGCGATCAAAGTCTTTGTCTTTGTACATATGTGTGCATGTGTCCCAGCGTGTTGCCGAATTCTTAACGTTCCGATTGCTATCGTAGAGCATTAGTAAACACGGCGAGACACACCCAGAACCATTGCCTCGTTACAGCGAGGCGTCATACCACCACCATCATCATCATTTCATTGAGCCATCATCACAACCACCACGATGAGCCGTCACAATAGCATCACCACGCTTAGCGGTCACAACAACATCATCATCATCACACAGCTTTGCATCATCATACAACTTTGCATAATCACTACGAACACATATCAACAACGTCACACAGAGCTGTCGCATCATCATCTATGAGAGGTAATTTATGGCGATCATGCTTATTGGACATGTCAGGCAATAGCCGCAATTATGATAGATTATATATATTTCTTATCATCATCGTCGCATGTGTTATTGCGTCGTGGTATGTGTATGTGTGTGTGGTGTTTGTGGTGTGTATCTGTGAGAGCTGTGGATGGGTGGTCTATCAGTGGGGTGTATCCGAGTTGTGTATCTGTCGGGTGTGGATGGATGGGTACAGCTGTTTGGGGTGTGTGCGTGTGCAGTGTGTGTGTGTGGCAACATTGGGTATTATGCTTGCGCGTAGGGTATATATGTGCGGTATATTTGGCATATCTGTATTGCGTGTTTGTATATATTCCTGTGTGGTATGTTTGATAAAAACAAATTGGGAGGAATCTATACACATACCACACGTACATCA